TCTCGGTCCCAGGACGGTGATGCAGCGGGACCTCCCCTCAGATGCACACAAGGGCAGCCGGTCCAGGGCCACCGCACAAGCCGGGACACGTCCTTCTCCAAGACACACGCGTGGACCGCGGCGGCTTCTGCTCTGGGTTGGGGCGCCTCCCCGGAGGCCGCCCGTCAGTCAGAGCAGCGCTGCACAGTTTAGAGAGTGGCCCGCGCGACCTCCTGAGCTCCCTGCTCCAAGGTTCCCCGACGACATGCTCTGCGTACCCCCCTTCTCCCTCCCACGCTGCTCCTCAGGCCGGGGGCTCGCATCCAACACTGTCTGCACCACTGGCCGCCCTCCAGGAAACCACGAGCCCCAGAGCCGACACTGGTGTTGGGGCGCCACTCCCTCCAGGCCCCCCCTCCCCCGCCCCCGCGTCCAGAGTGGAACAGACTCCGAGTATTGGTCACGTCCAGGACGTCTTCAGCACCCACCGCTGTCCGGCACAGCCACGATGGGAAGGCTGATGGAAACGCTCCGTCTTGATTTGTGTGGATACGTTGGCACAATGCAGCAAGCTGTCCACCCGTGAGCAGGACATCAATGCCCGCGGTTTCCGCTCCCGCCCTCCCCTGCACCCCCCCAAGCTCCCCGAGGAGATGGCAAACCCAGGAGGTGAGGATGGAGACCTCCCTCTTTTTTTGCCGAAGACAGAAAGGAAGGGGACCTCCTCTCCTAGTTCCCAGGGAGGTTTGTCCTGGAAGAGCTGGCAGGCCCCGCACCAGGGCCCTCCGCGCAGGGACCCTCCACTCGCCCGCGCACCTCTCTCCCAGGCGCCCCCGGCTTTGCACCCAGGGCCGTGGCCTTCCCCACAAGGACAGCAGGTCACGAGGTGCCGCCTGGAGTCTTCCTTCATAAACAGACAGGGCTCTGTTTCCTGACGACAATTATAAACACACCTGCTCCCAGGGGCGGGCGCTCCCCAAGGGGGCGGCACCCCAGGCCCCGCCTTCCATCCTGAGCCGCAAACACATCACGGCTCACTCCGTGCAAAGCAGCAGGTTAGTAACACCCCCGGCTCCGACCAGGACGGCCGGCCTTTCCCGACGCAACGTGTACTGAAGCGAATAGAACCTCCACCTCCATCTTCAGAGGAAAAGTCCATACCAGCGAGGCATTTCCGCCGCGAGGTGGAGGCGAGAGTGCGCAGGGGGCCGCGTGCAGAGGCAGCGTTGGATGTGGGAGGATTTCTGGTGCAGGACCCGGGAGGGAGGACTCAACAGGAAGCGGCAGAAAGCAAGTTGCTACCGTGGTTCCTGAAGCCGCGTGCTGCACGGCCTCGTGTTTCTCAGCTCCTGCTCGTCCGGAGGGCGTGGCCCCCTCCCCTGGGGCTCATGGAAGGGAAAGTCTGTGTCTGGAAGCCTCGAGGGCTGGTCCTCGTTTATCGCCATTTAGCTGTGTGACCTGAGACCAGCGGCTTAACCTCTCTGAGCTCCATTCCGGAGGGAACGGCCCAGGTCAGAAGCCTCAGGTGGCCTTCGGTGCTCACATCCGGGATGCAAACTCCCCTCAGGCGGTCGCGAAGCAGCCCTGCGCGATTCTGAAACGCGGGCGGTGGACTGCAGAGCGAGCCACACATCCCATCCCCGCAAGGAGGCCTTCCCGGCCCACCAGGAGGCGGCGGGAACATCTGAGGGAGCGGACCAAAAAGTGACTTTTTGAAAGTCAAAATGTTCTCCCCGTGTGTTCGGTTCCAGCACAATAAACTCCCCCCGTGATATCCGTGAACCCCCCAATGAACCTTTTCTAACACCACCTACAAAGCTGGTCCTAAAACATGGCGAGAAACCTGGACAGACATTCACAAAACAGAAAATGCACCAGCGGCCCCCAACTCCCAGACAGAACGACTGCTCATCGCGGGGCTCCAGGGCGAACCCGCCAGGGAAGCAGACCTGCCAGTGGAGCACCAGGCACCAGACAACCCGCCAACCTCCTGGTCACAGGGCGGCGCTTTCCTGGACCCGAGG